AAAGGACCAGCCTATTGGAAACTTCAACGTTTTGCCTTGGTAACTGTATTATACTTATGAGAACTTGAACTTGTAGAAGTTTTGGCGATCATGTTAGATTTTTGAATTTTGGAGTATTTAATATGAATTTTTAAGGGATTTTTTTTATTAGAGCAAATGAGATGACGTTTTTTTTTTTTATATTTTTTATACTTACAAAATGTAGAGTTTTGAGAGAATGACAAAACAAAGAAAAAAAAACCCTCCAAAGGTGCAAAATTACAAAGAGATTCACAAAATATGATAATTATTTTGTACACCTCATAAACTTGTCTGGTATTTTAGGCTTTTTGGCAAATTATAAGAATACCCCTAACTTAAAATGGCTTCTTTATTTGGGTCATTGACTAAAGCTCAATAGCGAATGACAACTAACATTTTGCAACTTTTTGATACTTCAATGGTTTGAAAGTTATTGACTATTTTATATTTGTAAATGATCAATTATGTTGTTGATTAGAACAGAGTACAACTAACTTTTTGTTACTTTTTTAAACCATCATGGGTTTAAAAGTTAATAACTATTTCATATTAATAAATGACTACTTTGATTAGGTTATTGATAGACTAGAGTTAAATAGCATATGACAACTAACTTTTTATAAAATTTTCAAAGTATTTGAGTACAAGAATATGAAAATGAGTAACTATTTTAAATTTATAAATGACTGTTTCAATTAGACTATTGATTAAAATTGAGTAGTGAATTACAACTAACTTTTTGCAATCTTTTTGAAACCAATTCAAGTGTAAAGGTTGATAAGTCAGTGACTATTTTAAATTTGTAAATTATTACTTCAATTAGGCTTTTGACTAGAATTAAATAGCAAATAATGCAACTTTTTAAAACTATATTGAAGTACAAGGGTCTAGAATTCAGTGAGTACTTCAAATTTGTAAATAACTATTTTGATTCGGGTATTGATTATAATTGAATAGCAAATAACAACTAACTTCTTGTAACTTTTTTTAACCATTTAAGTGCAAGAGTCTGTAAGTTGGTGGCTATTTCATACTTGTAAATGACCACTATGATTAGATTGTTGACTAAAATTGAGTAATGAATAGCAACTTTTTTTTACTATTCAAGTGCAAGGTCTAGAAGTGAGTGACTATTTCAAATTTTTAAATGACTATTTCATTTAGGTTATTTACTAAAACTTAGTATGACAATTAAGTTTTTGCAATTCTTTTTAATAAATTAACTTTTATTGTGTAAATTGCACACAAATTACTGCATGAATTAAAGAAATGGTTAAAGACTATTTTTCCCTTGTATTTTTTTTTTTTGGAGGAGCACTGAATATCTTATATTAATAAGTTAGGCAATTCTCCTATAAATTAATTTTTCAAAGAGCAAAAATCCTTTCCATCAAGAAACCATCTATTTCATTGTTATATGCATATATGTATTATCTGTGGGCCCCATTACCATATGATGCGGCCTAATATTGTAGAATTAAAGTGCTAATTTATTTTTGAACTTTTTTCTAGGAATATTTGGCATTCTAAAATATTGTTAAAATAAAATTTAATAAATATTTAATTTAATAAAATCTTGTTACAATATTAAACATTTTAATACTTAAATAGTATTAGTTCTTTTATTAAGTCATTTTTTGCAATTTATCTATAAATATTATTATTATTTATAAATCTTCACACAATTTACAAGTCAACTTATACAAATTTTTTTAGGTTAAAGTATACATTTAGAGCTTTAACTTTACATAAAGTTTTATTTTAAGTTCTTAACTTTATAAAGTGTCTTTTTAGTCCTTTAACTTTAATATTATTAGTTTTATTCTAAGAAATTTTTACATTAAACTTTCAAATATTGAAAAAATACTTTTAAATGTTGACATATTAAGTTTAATTTTTCAAAACAATAATTGATTGATACAAAAAACAAGTATTTGAAACTAATGATATTACGGTTAAAGGATTAAAAATATATTTTATAAAATGTAGGGACTAAATTGAAACCTTATATAAAGTTAGAGGATAAAAAGTATGCTTTATTCAATTTTTTAATGAGAACTTATTAATTTTGGAGGAAGACTTATAATTTAGCATTTTTTTAATTTACAAATCACCTAAAAATTTCTATAAAAAAACCTAGTTGAGCTGTTAATATTTAAAAAATAATTTATAATTTTTTATAAATATTTATAAATAATAATATTTAAATTATAAAATATCACAATATTTAATAATTTATCAAGATTTTATTAAATAAATATTTATTAAATTTTATTTTAATAAGATTTCAAAGTGTCTAATACTCTTAAAAAAAATTCTAGAACAAATTAACACTTTAAACTGACAATAATACGCCATGTCATATGGTAATGGGGTTCGCACTTAATACATGTAGATAGATAACAGTGAACTAGGCAGGATAGCTTCTTGATGAAAGAGCTTTTTGCTACTAAAAAATATAGTTTAGAGAAAAAATTGATTCACTTATTAATATAAGATGTCTAAAACTTTTAAAACAAAGTTAAAAAAATAGTCTTTAACTCGTAAAGAAATAAATTCTTCTATTTGAAATGACTAAAAAACTTTTTGGATTGACTAAATGTAGGAAAAGAAAAAAAATGTATTTGATGAAATGAAACCTGTTGTTTGTTGAAGGGAAAATTAATTCAAAAATCCTTGTAGTTTTCCCTAAATTTTAATCGGGTACTTGAATTGTTTTTTTCTTTTTATCATATTCTCTTTGTTTTTTTCTTTTTATCATATCGTCTATGTTTAATTGAGACATTAATTCCTAAAGAATTAGACTGTTTAGTAAGAACTCACGGGCTCTAACCAACTTTTGTAAACTATGATTATGGTTGATGGGTTGATGGGCTGGAAGTGACTCTATGTCTAGCTGGAAAATTGATTTGTCTATGGTAAGTTCTTTGACGCAAAGGAAGAATGGGAGGGGAGAAGATCGTTGATTCATTGTCATTTGTTGACTTAAGAATACAAGATGTTCCTAGCAAAAACGTTCCTAGATATTTTTACCTTTAACTCGTATCCATGAAGTAGTACAGGTATGTTTGAGTAATCCATTTTAACTTTTGAAAAGTATTCTCACATTTGAGATGTGAGATATTGTTTGGGAAAAAAAGATAAGAAAATGAGAGTGTATCTAAAAGTAATTTAAGAATATTATTGAAAGTGGATTTGGTAAACGTAAAATGTTGGAACTTTTGAAAAATATGATATTATTTGATCATACTACTCCAAATTTAATATTTTATTCTTTTACTTAAAAAATAATTAATTTATTAAAAATACAATTATCACTTAAATAATAATAAATAGATATCAAGTTTTTAACATTATAAATTAAATAATTAATCATGTTAATTTTTAGTATTAATATATAATAAAAATTAAAAATCTTTTTCACATTTTTTAAAATTACAAATTAAAAGATTACAAATAATTAGAGATCAAATTTTATATTATTTAAAATCTTTGTCATATTTTTTTAAATATTTTAAATATATTATATTTATATAATAAAAATTATAAATAATCATAAATTAATATTCTTTCTAGTGATTGTATATTCAAAAGTAAATTTTATTATAATAATCCAAATAACTTGTTTACTAAATTAATTTTTTTAAAATATATCTAAATATAAATTTCATTTCAACAGATTTTTATTAAATAAATTTTTAACAAATTAAAAATCAATCACTTTATCTTGATGCATCTTCAGTTCTTCACCATCCAAATCAGGACCTGTAGCCACTTTATTCAGTTGTTTTTTCTTTTTCTTTTTTTTTTGGACGAACCACTTTATTTAGTTCAATCAACAACAAAATAGAAAATTTCAGAATCCAGATTCAATCGAAACCCAAACCTCTTTGTAATTTCTGAGATATTTAATTTTAGAGAACAAACCTCGACACCCACGGTTCGCCTTAGAACTGTCACTTGTAGAGCTGTACAATATATTTATATATAGAAATGATGATAATCTAATTAAAATATATTAACACTAGTTTCATTCTGTCACAGAGTTGCCAAATATGGCATGCGCACAAGATGCACAGATACCAAAAATTCCTATCCTCAAGAAACTTGTGAAGTCAAGTCTCCAAATTGATTTTCTCTTGATAACTTGAAGATGTAGATCTGTTTTATCAATTCCCTTGACTCATCAAATAAAATTTTTATAAACAAGAAAATCTATTTTGATACAGTGGAGGTCAAGATGCAGTGATTCCATTCAGTTGAATTGATCGTGTCAATCAAATCAGTTTGTCTGACTTATTGTTCGGATATGATTATTGTTAAGGAATTTTTTTCAAGCATCGAAAGTTGATTGTTTACTCTCATCAGCTTCGACTAGAAAGTGGTCTTCAGCAAAAAGTTGTTCAGTGAATGAGAAGATTCGAAAGTTGTTTGGTTCTTGACTTCGAAGTCTTACTCGACCAAGCAACTTCGATAATTCCAATTTAGGGCCAATGCAGCCACAGACAATCCTTCACAACATTCCAAAACCCATTCTCTGCCTCCGTTTCCGATGATCATCTTGTTTCTTACAGGATTTGGTTCAAGTTCTTGCTCGCTACTTCCTTTTTTTATATATTTGTTCTCTTTTCCCGTTCTTGTTTGTGCCTTGGACACCGTCACACCATCTCTAGAGATCCATGAACCCCAAACAATAAGGTCAAATAATAGCATGTTTACTCTAGGATTCTTTAGTCCTGAGAATTCCACGAATCGCTACTTAGGAATCTGGCTTATGTCTGAATCAACTATTGTTTGGGTGGCAAACAGAGACGACCCAGTAACAGATTCTTCTGGGATTCTTACAATATCAGACAATGGCAATCTTGTTTTGAATGGGCAAAAACAAATTGTCTGGTCAATAAATGTCTCAATTGCATCAAATTGTTCAACTATTGGATTCCGGCAACCTTGTCCTCACTGACAGAACTACCGGAGCAATGACGTGGCAGAGTTTCCAATATCCCTGTGATACATTATTACAAGACATAAAACTCAGTACTAATCAACAAACAGGCGAGAAAGTGAAATTTACATCATGGAAAAGTACATCTGATCCATCCTATGGAAGATTTTCTTTAGGTCTAGAGCATCATAATGTTACTCAATTGTTCATATGGAAAGAAAATAGTCCTCACTGGCGGAGTTGTCCGTGGAATGGTACAAACTTTATTGGAGTACCTGGGAGGTCATCTACGATTGGAAAATGCCTTCAAATGAAAGAAGATGAAGGAATTTTTGAAATTTCTTTTTATTTCATTGACAAGTTTCTGTTGACGACTTACCCTTTAGATTCTCAAGGTAAACTGTCAGATCATACTCTGGATTTCCAGAAAAATGCACGCGAATTGAGGTGGAGAATTGGGGATTCTGAGTGTGATTTTTATGGACAATGTGGCCCATTTGGGATCTGCAATTCACAGAGTTCCCCAATCTCAAAGCCAAAGCTTTCTCTAGTCTTATTAAATTAAAGGCGCGTTTGTTTTAACTTATTTTATAAACAAATCACTTATTTTTTTAAAAAATTATTTTATGAGTTTTTATTATGTTTATTTAAATTTTTTAAAATAATTAAAATAAAAAAATAAACTTTTTAATTATTTTATGAAGCTACTTGAAGTAGCTTTTAAAAATAATCTAATATGGTGGATGACAGAGAGTGCTTTTAAAGAAGCGCGATACATGAAGATATTATAAAATTTTATAATAATATACAATAAATTTTTAATAAAAAATAAAAAAATATTATAAATTTTAAAAACGACTAACCAATAATTATTTTTTATTATTATAATTAAATATAAAATAATGTCTGCTTTTTATAAAGTCTTTATAAAATAAATTTTTTTTTATAAAATCTCTAAATTAACTAAAAATTATTTTTTTAAAATCTTAAACAAGCAAGTCATAAAATGGTGAGAATTAAAGTATTTGGTTGTTAGACTAAAACCCAAGGCTACTAGGTGTAATGATCCAAATTTTTTCTAAGTTAATGTAAATTAATTTTTTAATTAATATTTTATTTAAATTAACGAAGAATAATAATTTAAAGAAACTTATCTTAAATTTTTTAAGACTTTGTACCTCTTTGTCGTAATTGTTTCTTGTGCCATTCTTGTAGTTTTTCCAATTATTTTTTTTTTTTTTCAGAATTTATATCACTCACGCGAAAAGAGACACTCGTCCAGTCCATCTCCTTCCTTTCCTTCACCGACACGAACGCTCTGATTCTTCACCGCCAATAGAGACAGATCGGGAAGCTTTTCCCCTGTACTTCCTTCTTGGTTTTCAGCTGTTGCTGGTACTGACGAGTCCAGAGTTTCGTCCGCCACTGCTAAGAGTTTGAGTCGCGAGTTCTCCTAGGTGCGTTGTCGATCGTTTTCCCCTCCCTTGCTGCAACGTCGTCTGGTGTGCGTGTGGACCTCAAATTTCAGTTCTCCCTACTCTGCTTCCCGTCCGACTTCCTCTCTTTTTTCTCATTGTCGGCGTGTTGGTGGGAGTGCTTCAGATTTTCTCCTCCTCCTCCTTCACAGTTGCTGAGCTACACCTTCTTCTTCCTCTTTTTGCTGCTGTCAACGTGATTCAGCTGGAATCTAGCTGAAAAATTGTTGTGCTGAAAGAGGTTGCTGTTGGTCCCTTTATTTTCTTCCTCTGTTGCTGCAATAACTGAAAGTCTCCCTTCCCCTGTTCTGCATGAGTTTCGAATTCTCCTTCCCTTCTCTGTCTCTGGTTGGTAATATGAGGTATGGAACTTTAAGTTCACTTTCTTTTTGCTGTCTTGTGCGTGTGTTTTGGCTTGGTTGTGGACTCTTATTTTCCTTTAACTGTGTGAAATGCATAGATAAGAATTGGGACTTATTTGTGGTTGAGATTAATTTACTATTAAGGCATATAATATATATATATATATATATATATATTGGAGTTCGATGGATAATTGATGAGGGAAAAGTTGGTAGTAGTTTATGACTTGATGTTTATGAAGTGTTTGATAAAATACTTGCGAGAAAGAATTTTGTCTGAATATGTATTTTGAAATTTAACTAACTTGCATATAAGAAGTATATCTAATTTGGATGTTAATAATTTTTGAATCTAACTTGAATATTATAAAGGAATTTAAAGATGAAGTGTGGTAGAGGTATGTGTGTGGCTAGTTGAATGTTAATTTAAAAGCTTTATTTTGTGGTTTTGGAAGTAATGTACACTTGATGTCCTAACAAAAAGCTTAATTTAATGGAGTAATTAGTAATCACTATTGAGCAACTTTCATGTGTAAAGTCTTAGTTCAAAAATTTTAAATTTATTATAGTTGGGAGTGATAATGTGGGGAGGGAACTCTTGAACTCATTCAGTGTCAACTAAGACCTTGATATATTTTATAAGGTGTTTAGAAAAAAAAATTTAATTAAAGTTATAAAAGATGAACTTTGAATTTTAGAAACATTTCAGGTAAGTAAATAGTGCCCTAATGATCCATTAGCAAATTCATTTTTATAAAAATATTAGTGTAGTATATTTACATGCTCTCTCTTTTATTTACATAACTATTTTTATTCTACAAGAACAAATGATAGAGTATTTTAATTAATTTGTGTATTAATTAATTAATTGATTTATATGGTTTATAATCTTAATTTTATTATTAGCTGTCTTACATGGAAATGTTGGTTATGTGTTTAAAGAACAATTAGCTATCATGATTCATGTATGGAATATATAAATATATAGATAAATTCATTTATACTGAGTATGATGAGAAATGTCGAAAAGAGATCATATTCATTTTATTGACCCATGCATGTTTGATTTAAAATGTGAGATTGAATTAGAACACTAGTTGCTAACGATAATATCATTAGCCTTTGACGTGCTATGGTATGCCTAGCTAGCAGAGTGTTTAGGAGGTGTTAGTCTTGTGCGATAGCTAACACACGTGAAATAAAGGGATAGTTATTCATGAGTATAGTATTTACGCTTGTTTTCATAGGCCTTGTGCATGTGCTTGATTTTGTGGATGCTCATGCTTGTTTTCATGCCTTCAAATTGCACTTGTTGGTTATTTATTCTCATGAATTGTGTATTCATGCTTGATAATCGTTTTGATCAAATCCTACTAAGAGTGAATTTTGGAAATTAGCTTTTCTTAAAATTTGATATTTTAAAGCAAATTGTTATTTTTACCATTTTTAGATTTTGTATTGAGCTATATAATTCTCAAAGTGTTTAAACATGTTAATTGAACTTTTGATAAAATTTTAATTGAATTCATACCTTCATAGTTTTTTTTTTCATTTACATAACCGTTGATATATATATATATATATATATATGAGGTAAGTGTTATATTATTTTCAATTGATTATTTTATTAAGTATATAAGAAACTCATTGTTGTACCTTCCATTATTTATATCAATCATAATTGGGACGTTATTCGTTGGAATATTATTTTTGGTCTTAGATAGTGCAACCGACATTATATGTCCTGCTGACTATTGAGGAATTTTTTGCTAAGCAAGGTGAAGATTTGTTTATAAAAATGTATTTTAATGTACTTATGAAATTTATGTGCTATGTTTTGAAAATATGGTTAGGTGTTCCACATAAACTATAATTAGGGTTCTTATTTGGTTATATACTCTATTTGCTAGCTGGATGGAGTCGTACTCTTGATCTTAGTGATATTCTGCTTATAAATAAAAAAATTGTATTGTAGGATTGTTGAGAAGTCATACTTATAAGGGAGATGCTGTTGAAATTATTACAAAAATAATAAAGCTTTTATAAAAAAAATAAAAAAAATTGATTTATTATTCAGGATTTTCTAAATTTAATATAAATATAATTAAGTAATAGAAAATTTTCTTGAGTTAAAGCTTAAGAGATTTGTGTTTTATACACATATTCTATGTCGGTCACTTTTATATTTTGGAGTGTGACACTAGGGGTGGAATGTCAAATTATGAAGGACATGCTTATTGGAAACTTCAATGCTTATCCTTGGTAACTCTATTATACTTGTGAGAACTTGAATTTGTTGTTGTTGATCATGTCAGATTTTTTAATTTTGGAGTATTTAATATGAATTTTTAAGGGATTTTTTATTAAAGCAAATCAGATGATGTTTACCCAAGGAATTAACTAGGTTATAAGCTTCAGATAACAAGGGTTTTATGATTAAAATTTCATGGTAATTGAAATTGATTTGGTTTATTTTAAACTCAAAATTTTTACTCTAAAAATTAAGAAAATGTGTAAATAAAAATGCGCTGAGAATTGGTGCTAATAATGTATGTAATGCTGGATTTGTTGCCGTAGGATTTGTCGACCTATCTTTGGACATGTTGGCGGGCTTTGGGTAAGGTTGTTAGCACCCAATTTTCTAGGTTGTCATTGGATGGTAGTAGACCTTCTAACATGAAGGGTTGAAATAATTAGGAATTTACTTCCTTTAATCTTATATATAAATTATTTTTAACTATCTCACTAAAACTAAAGAGAGATGGTTAAGTAATTGATAAATATTATTTAAAAAAAGAAATTTTTCAACTTACTCTTATTAATTGGTAAAAAAAAATTACTCTTATTAAATTTAGCCTTTTCACTATTAAAAAAATTAAAATTAGTTATGGATATATGATGGCAAATTTTCAATCCATCATTTATTATAGGGGTTAATGATAAAAATTATGTGACATGACATGGAGGCCGAAGTAGTGATGATATGACAAGTGGTGGGTGACACGTACTTTAGGAGTGACATGAGAGATGATATGGCAATAATTGAACGTACAAAAAAAATTTAATTATAAAATAAGTTAATGATAAAAGTTTATCAATTAGTGATGGATGTTTTTCATCACTAATTTAATGATGGATTCATTTCTATTACTAAATTAGTGACTCCATATTTCTGCCTGAAATCAATGATGGACAATCCATCATGAAATCCAAAATTATTGATAGATTTTGTTGTTTAGTAACATATTTGTCTATTACTATTTTCAATTTTTCTAGTTGTGTTTTAATTGAATCTCATTTTAGTATAGGGAACACATTAGACACAAAATAGGTGCATTCTCAAATGTTTCAAAGAATTTTGAGGGTTCAAATCTTAGTCTTTGTGTATATAATAATTTAGTTGTGAGAAGTCTATTATTTTTTCTCACTACACACCTCAAGGGAGATATCTTCTGTTATTAATAGAGCCTACTCCACATGCTTATAAAAAGTAAAGTTGAGAGAATGACAAAAAAATGCCCTCTAAATATGCAAATGACAAAAGAGATTTGTAAATTGTGATAATTATTATGCAGTCCTTATGAACTTATCTAATATTTAGGTCTTTTGATAAATTACAAGATTGCTCCCATTTAAAATGACTTCTTCATTTGGGTCATTGACTAAAACTCAATACCAAATGACAATTAACATTTTGCAGCTTTAACATTCTACTGCAATGGTTTGGAAGTCATTAATTATTTTAAATTTGTAAAAAAACTACTTCAATTAGTTACTAACTAGAACAAAGTAATGAATGACAATTAACTTTTTGTATCGTTTTTAAACCATTCAAGCACAAGGGTTTAAAAGTCAATGACTATTTCATATTTATAAATGATTATTTCGATTAAACTAAGTAGCAAATGACAACTATTTTTTTGCAACATTTTTAAAGCATTTAATTACAAGAATACGAAAATGAGTAATTTTTTCAAATCTATAAATGACTATTTTAATTAGACTATTGGTTAGAAATGAGTAGTGAATAATAACTAGCATTTTCCAACTATTTTCAACCACTTCAAGGGTTTGTAAGTTGATGACTATTTTAAATTTGTAAATGATAACTTCAATTATAGGCTTTTGAATAGAACTGAGTTGCAAATGACAATTATCTTGTTGTAACTTTTTTAAGCTATTGAAGTGCAAGGATCTAGAAGTCAATGATTAATTCAAATTTGTAAGCTATTGATTAGAATTAAGTAGCAAATGATAACTAACTTCTTGCAGCTTTTTTTAACTATTCATGTCATGCCCAAAAATTTAAGGTATGATTGGCTCAAAATATGAGTAAACTTATATCCTTTAAGTCTTAACTTGAAAAGTTTCTAATTATAAATCATACACATTTTTTACATGGGATTAGATCCTAACTCATATATATGCATTGGTTAATGTGCATTTTTATCACTGAATTTTGTTTCTTGAGAAGTAATTTTATCCTTGTACTCAATAAGTGAAACAATTTTACATTTGAGCTATTTTTTTAGTAGTAAAAAAAACCTTATATAAGGTGCCTAGTGTTTCTCAAAAAAATAATTTAATGATAAAATTGTCTTAATTATCAGTACAAAAGTAAAATTACTCCTCGAAAAAAAGGTTAGGAATAAAAATGCACCTTAACCCCAATTTGTAATGATTTAAGAAAAAGCCTACCTTGATAATAGATTGTCTCGAAAACTCTATAACATTATTATTATACAAAACAACAATCAAGAGCTAAGCTTCTATTAACAGACTAATAACAAATTCAATCAAATAAAAATCCTAACTATAGTCAGTGTGTAGCATTTAGAACAAAATTTACAAATTACAAAGTATAATATATGAATTTAAGTTTTACAACAATAAAAAATTTAACCAAAATAACGCTTCAACTCCAATTTGAAAGTATACCCTCAACAATCATCTAGAAGTCTAAAGTTATTTACATTATTTGAGATTAAAAATATTTTTCAGTGAATAATAACTCAATTATATAAGTTTAAAGAATGGTGAGGAATACCAATTAATAAAGAAGTACTTCAATATAACAATCACTATGCATTGAAATCAAAGAATCTTCCCTAACATTTTGTCCTTATAAACAGTAGCATTGTCTCAAACAATATTTGTTTTCACATTATACAATGGTAAGTGATTGACATTTAAATCAAATCGTTATACTAAATAAATGGAAAATGAAGTAGTAACATTTGGTAAATATATATTTTTTTTAAATCAAATAGAGCTGATCTATATGTGTGTGTATAGATAAACAAATTAAACGCAAATTTTACTTTTTAAGGACTTGTCAAAACAAAAAATAAATGTATATACGTAGTCTATAAGGGTTGTAATCAATCAAACGTAGTTTAAAATCACAAAGATAAATGTGGATATACAGTATAAGAGAGTAATTAGCCAAACACAATTTAAGGCCATGAAAATAAATGTGGATACATAGTCTATGAGATTACTGCTAACCAAATGCGACTCAAAGTTACAAAAACAAACGCAAGTACAAAGCTTATGAATAAAAAATGTGAGTACAATGCTTATAAAAATCAATCTAGCTAGATGTTAATTGTGATGTACCAAGGGCCAATGAAACTATCGTTAACAATCAGTGTTTTGTATATAGTCTTTTTGAAATCAGCTTTACAAACATGAGAGAACATAATCATTATGAAGATAAGCTTTCTATTTAAAGTCAAAATCGCATGAATTATTTAAAATTTCAGTCCCTCTCAATATTGAAATTCTTAACTAAAGTTTCAAAAAAAAATTCTTCACTAATTTCCATGGTATTTTCTATCAAATAAAGGATTACTATGTCTTGCAAAAGTATTTTTGTAAATCTTAAAGTACATTTTGTGATTTTAAGAGTAAATTAATTAGCAAAAGTAATCGGTATTTGAAATATATTAATATTAGTAATATTTTTAATAACAAAAGAAAATTTATTTATAATTTAATTGGGATGCTATCCATTTATTTAATGCATTTTTAAATAGATATAACTTACTTTCAATTGACCCTCTTGCAACCATGTTTAGTTCTTGTAATAATTTAGAATTTTTTGTTTTAAAAATAAAAAGTTTTATATAATGATAATAATAATTTGTGAAGAGCTATTTTGATTATAAATTTATTGATTACGGAGTAGGTACATCAAGAAGGAATGGTAGTGTGGCAAATTTTATGTGAATTACATATTCATTAGGTCTTGCGTTCAAACCTAGATGAAGCCAATAGTCATATTTTTATCTTTGTGTTTCAGCTTATGATTAAATTACCGTAATACCCTTTTGATTAAAATAATAATAACAGAGATTAAAACACACGCTGCTGTCTTCTCTTTCTCCGTTCTCCATTTTCTGATTTTTCGAGAACCATCGAGAGACAGAGGGAAACGCTGAACCAGAAGCATCTTTGCTACATTCACTTTCTCCTCCCTCCTTCTCCGTCTTCAAGGTCGCTAGTGCAGGTGTGTATGTTGTTGCTGTTCCGCTAAGTTCGCATCTCCTCTGTTTCTCGTCACTGATTTTCTTTTCCTTTCTCCTGCATTCTAGTCGATCAATGGTGGTGAGCGCACGACCAGCTAGGCTGTTGATGAAGGTCTGATTTTGTTATTTCCATCCCCGTTCACTACATCAATTCCTTCTTCCTTCCCCTGTTTTTTTTTTTTTTTCGCTGAAGAATCTTCTGCTCGTCTCTCGTTCGTACAGCTACAGATATAGGCGTTGAGCTCTTCTCCCTCCCTATCTGAATTCCCAGGTGCGAAGGGAAATTTGAATGAAGTTTCAAAAAATGAATTATTGTACTTAGGCACACTAAAGTTATGATATATATTTAAAATTAGTGAAGATGCTTTTATAAATTTTAATAATTTTTTATTTAATAAAGCTAATTATAAAATTGATGGATAATTTATAAAATATTAATTATGAATTTTTGTATTTAAAAAAATTTATATTTTTATATGTTCTATGCAAGTTTAATATTAAAATGAGAAATTATATTTTAAAATTGATAATTTTTTTCTCGCATTTTGAAAGTGAATTTAAAAGGGAACTTTATATACTTAGTGCGTCATAGTTAATAACTAGTTAGTGTGATATTCGTGAACTCTGTTTTCACATTTATTATTAATGAGTTTTGCACCTGCATTCATTTTCGTGGCTTTAAGCCGCATTTGATTAGATTACTCTCATGGACTGTATGTTTACATTTATTTTATAACTCATGCTATATTTGGTTACTTACCTTTATAGATTATGTGTCCACGTTTGTTTTCATGACATAAGCCACATTTGATTATTTACCCTCGTGGACTATGTATTCACATTTGTTAATTATTTTGATAAGTTCCTGTAAAATATGAATTTAATTATTTGATGATTTTATATCACATTGACTTTAATTAGTAATTTATTTATAATTATTTATTTCGTTTAACTGCATCTTGGAAATCAAGTGATAATATTTGATGTAATAATTTAATAGTTCAAGATATCATTTAAAATTATAAAGAATTCTTTAATTTTGAAGTGTATTAAATTTTTATGAGGATTATTCTCTCTCTTTAACTTACAAAATTGTTTTAAATTTTTCATTTATTTATGTTCAATTATTTATTGTTGGGACGTTATTCACGAGAAAGTATTTTTGTTTGGCCTCAGATACGTTAGCTGATGTTGTACCTTCTGCTGACCATTGAGAGGTTGTAGTATTCAATTGAAGTGGGAAATTCTAGATCAAGCTTATTTTAATGTAAACTTAAATCTATGTATTATTTTTTGTCAACTCTTATATCAGGTGCTCCACATAAGCTGTAGTTAGCATCCTTATCTTTATTATTTATATTTTTGTTATCTGTTGTTGGGAATAGAGTTTCTTGCTGCTACTATTGTTTGTAAAATGGTAGTGGATTTCTTTTTGGGAGGTTTTATTAAGAAGGGGGTTTTTGCCTAAATTTTTTTCAAGAAGTCTGGTAAACTTTTATTTATATAAAAATGTTGCAATGAATTTTAATCCTATTTCAAATGAATTAAAATATCATATTAGAGTTTTCTTAATCAAGACTTAAGGAATATATGTTTATGCATATATCCCATGCCAGTCACTTTCATTTTTGTTGGGACGTGACAGATGATATCAGAACCTAGGTTTTCTATAGCTATGTAGAGCAAGGACTTTTCATTAGGGTTTCAATTATCATTATAAATCCAAGCATAATCATAATTGATGCATTAATAAAGGTCTTATAGAGGGTCCTTGAATGTTGTTCCTTTCTTTGTTATTACCTTTCCTTAATCTATAGTTTTTTATCTCGAGCTAAAGATTTACTTTAACTCTTTGCATAGTGAGAAATGTTGTCTAGACACTAAGTATCAAGTAAAAGGATTTGAAGCAAAAGAGTTTTTCATAAAGCCTAAACTCAACTTAGTAATATGTTCTTACTTTTAAAGCTCATTTTCTTCTATGTATTATAAATTTTATTAAGCTTAACGATTTTTGCGTTTTCATTTTAGAAAGAAGCTGATACACCCAAGATCAAAAGTGCCATAGGGGCATGACTGAAGAGGTAGAACTCTAAGACCCTTAGTAGATGCTTTACCTTAAAGTGTAGAAGGATCCCTCTTCAATTCCAAGAATACACACACACACACAACATCTACTCAAGAAAAGAAAAAAAAAAGGGAAAAGATGAAAAGTTTGTGTAGGAATTACTTCAATTCATGTTTAGAAGAATAGCTCTATAAATCATATAATTTGAGTCATAGATTAATTCAGCATACTCTAAGTTCTATGTCATTATTGGCTGGGTTTGTCTAGACGATAAGCAAATATATTCCAAGAAAGGGATTTAGAAATCATTGTCAAATCTTATGTGCAATACTTAACTTCACTAGATAAGAAACCCAATGACATAATATAGCAATCATATGCAAGTATTATAATATTTAGCTCTCACAAGACTCATGTATCATTTGATTTTAATGCTACTAGTTATTATATGACTGAGTATATTTACATGTTAGCGAGTCTTATTAGTGAGATAGTTTTTGGCTGATCAGATGTATAAAACTTTTACCATTGATTCAAGGTACAAGATTTCATGATGACTTTTCATAAATGCCTATCTGGGTTTATTTGATTAAATTATTATAAAAGATGTGGAAGTAAGAATTATGAACACCAATTGAATCATCATTTTAATGAGAAACGTGTAATTCTGAAATACCAAACTCTAGGCTAAGGATAAGGCATGAAGAGCAAAGTGTAAAAATTTAAACTTTTGACTCATAATGGGGGTTCAAATGAGTTTGTTGGAAGTTAAACAGGTCATATATAATGTGAGAATAAGATTTGAAGATGAGAAACTTGAATTATGGCATAAAGGGGATCGTAGGAACTAATTTGGTTTAATATGAATTATACATGACTTAATATGTGTTAATGCAAGTCAAGTGGTCATTTTGAGTTATGTGGACAATCATAAATATTGAACCACATTTATATGTTATCTAAATGGTTAGAAATATGTTTGTAATAAACAATTACAAGAGAATACAAGTTTAAGAATTTGAGTCTTCAAAACAGAACCAAAGGAGCAGTAAGACTCATGTCTGCACTTGTTGGTCCTACATGTTGAGTTTCAAGCTGAAATTTGGCATGCTTTTAGGGGGCATGTAGAAGTTTCATTCGCCCAAATATGGTAATTTTTGAAGCACTATAGAATATTTTATAAATTTTTGAATTTAGTTCAGAAAGTTGTCATGAAATAGTTTTGCATCTTTTGTACCAGCTCTAATGTTTTATGATTTTCTTGGACTAAACAGATTCCAATGAATCTGAAATTTTAACAGTATAGTGGATAAATATATCTTTTCACGGAATCCTAGCTTGCTTCAATTGGATGTTCCTAGCTCTAGTTCCGTCCATCTAAATTCTAGAATCAATTATGTGTTCATAATGTACTAAACTAGGTAGAGAAGGATTAAGCTTTATTATTCTTAAATTAACTACATTGGATACTGATAAGATGTTTTAAGCATCCTAAGTGAGTTAAAATGGTCTTTGGTGGCGAATAGTGTAGAGAGAGCAAGTGAAATGAAAAGGAAAAATATGACTAAGAGCGAGAGTAGTAATATCATTTATGAATAAGATGAGTATGATGTTTAGATAATTTTTTGATAAATTTATGATAAAATGTATAGATAAAACTTTGACCTAATTAAAGGAGTTCACAATGATTATGCCAAAATTCTTAAAAACATGAATTATGGTAAGTCAAGTAATCTTTTATGCTATGTTATGCCTAGATGAAATTTAGACATATCAAGTATGGTAAGAGTTCAGAATTGACAATTACCATTATGGTTGATGGATTCAAATATTCTTGGGTTTTACTTGGGCATTATCATTGTTTTCTATAACATTTTTTTTTTGACAAAGTCAAGTCAGAGGAAAGTGGAATTTTGGTAGGATTTAAATCTTGTAAAAGTCTTTAAAAGTTGTTATCAAAGGATTATTATTATAATGTTTTCATCGGTTTTATTATAATGTTTTCAATTTTAAGAATAATATGATGGGATTGCTCAAGGATTATTATTATAATGTTTTCATCAGTTTTTGGTAGAGTTTATATAAAAATGAATTATTTAAGCAGAAAAATTCATGAATTTGAGCAATATAGAATAAATTTCAAATTTGAGATAGGAGTATTTTAACTTGTGTGGAAAATGATTCTTCTTTAATCAATAAGGTTATTGGTGCTTGAAGTGTAAACCAAATTTATGCAAGTGATTGATAGTGGTAAGAGGATGGAATGGTGTTGAAATTGCTGTTGACTAGGGGGGTATTATAAGAAGTAGATTGAGCTCATTGTACAACAAATAGTATTCACAAGGTTAGTGAAGATGTACTCAGATTTATAAAATTAGAAAATAGTTAACATATTTGTGTTATAAGGTGGTATGAGGAAGGACATAATAGACTTTATTTCATGCTACTTAGTTTGTGTGCAAGTTAAGGCCAAACATGAGAAATTGATATATGATCACATAAAGATTGAAAGAGTGTAGAATTGCATACAGCTTTATTATCTTAGTTTTTGATCAAAAATTTTAATTAAATTAGCTTGTGCTTGTAGCAAGTCTTTCAAGAAGCTTTAGTTACTATCATTAACTAATTATATATATGAAAGCACAGTTCAAATTCTAGACATTATGCTAAGATATGGTATTTTGGTTCTTGGAGGAAGTTGGGGACAAAATATCTATTAAGGTGTTTTCTATGAGAGGGGTGATGAGGTTTGGAAAAAGGGGCAAATTGAGCCTGAGGTATATTGGCTCATTCAAGATCTTAAGAGAGTTGGCACTGTCGCTTATTGGTTGGTATTACCACCTTGATTATTGGGCATTTATTCGATGTTTCATATATTAATGCTACAAAAATATTCCTAAGTTGATCAAATAAACTTAGACTTCTTTTATAAGGAAGACCTTGTGATTATTCTTCATAAACAAATAAAGAAGCTAAGATCAAAAGAAATCACATCAATGAAGGTATTGTGATGCAACCATTCTCAAAAGAGGCTACTTGAAAAATTAAAAGCGGTACATGCACTGAGCATATGTGCTTATTTAATGATTGGGGCAAACATGTTTAAATTCAGAGGCCGGCCCAATTTCCTAGGGGGGAAAATGTAATAATCTAGAATTTTTGATTTTAAAAATAAAAAGTTATATATATTAATTATAATAATAATTTGTGAAGAACTATTTTGATTATAAATTTATTAATTATGGAGCAGATAAATCAGAAAGGAGTGGCGGTCTAGTGGATTTTATGTAAGTTACATATTTATTAGGTCTTGTGTTCGAACCTACATAAAGCCAGTCTTTTTATTCGAGCTTATGGTTAAATTACCGTAATACCCTTTTGATTAAAATAATAATAAAAGAGATTAAAGCACACGCTGCTGTCTTCTCTTTCTCCATTCTCCATTTTTCTGATTTTTCAAGAATCATCGAGAGACAGGGGGAAACGCTGAACCAGAAGCATGTTTGCTATATTCACTTTCTCCTCCCTCCTCCTCCGCCTTCAAGGTCGCCAGTGTAAGTGCGTATGTTGTTTGTACATATATCCCTGTAAGTGTGTTTGTTGTTTGCACATATATCCCACACTAGTCACTTTCATTTTTGTTGGGACGTGACAGTTCTTAAATCCCTAGTGATGTATCCCTAAGCAATACCATCATCATTTTCTTCTTTATATAATTTATAACCCAAATTTTTCAATCCAAACTCATGTGGGAAAGTAGAAAAGGAAAAAATCTTAACTTCAAAACCTTCTCGAGAACATTGCATCAAACTCTCTCTATAAAAGTATACCTAAGATTATTATAGAAACAAGCAACTTTGCCCTTTAAATTAACAACCGATAATTTAATCAACAAGAAAACAATTATTGCATGCATTTTTTATCATAACTCAATTTTTCCTTTCAAACATTTTATCAAACACCTTACAAGCATAAATCTCCAAATTAAAATTCTAAGCTCTTTTTTGTTCAAATCTCCCAAAATTTCCAGTGTCAATATTTGGGTTTATCCAGCTCCCCAATTTCAGTCCGTATATAATAATCAATCCAAATATGAAAAGAATATTATTTGAACACATTTTCCTCCTACAACAACCAAAATGTTTAAGACATAATTACACACTTGAACTTATATCAAGCCAAATCTTCTTCCCTCCAAACATCCTATTCAATATGAAAGAAAATTTAATAGCCTTTCTTCAAGTCTAATAAATTTCCTTCCAGTATCAGCATGACCATAATCAACTACCAAGAATTTGAGGGTCCACACCAACATGATTTACACATTATAGTTTCAGTATATAACTTTAGCCAATTACTTAAATGAGGCAGGATTTTCTCTTGCATGTTAGAACATGCAACGCCCAAAGCACACTGGCGCGAAAGCTATTGCGTGTTAGTCACGCATCCATTTTCTTGTTGGGGTGTAGCAGTTTAAAATTTGGAAAATATGGAGAGCTTTACACTTTAAAATCTTATTAAAATAAAATTTAATAAATATTTATTTTAATAAAATCTTATTAAAATATTAAATATTTTAATATTTTGATAATTTAAATATTATTATTTATAAATACCCATCCAAAATTTATAAACTATCTTCTAACTATTAATGAATTAATTAATTTTATAGAAATTTATAGATGATTTGTAAACTAAAAGAATATACTAAATTATAAGTCTTCCTCCAAAATTAATAAGTCCTCCTTTAAAAATTTATGTATCTTAAAATTTGACTTGTAAATTATGTGTAAATATTTATAAATAATATATATATATATATATAAACTACATAAAAGGACCTTATAAAAAATTAATATTATTTAAGTCCTCCTTAAAAAAATCATTTATCTTAAAAGCTGACTTATAAATTGTGTGTGAAGATTTGTAAATAATAACAATATTTATAAATAAATTATAGAAAAAGGCCTTATAAAAAATTAATACTGTTTAAGTCAAATATTCTAATCTTTTCTTCTTTCATGTAGTTTTGGGGGAAGACTTATAATTTAGCATATTTTTTTAATTTACAAATTACCTATAAATTTCTAAAAACTAAATGAGTCATCAATAAAATTTTATTAAAATAAATATTTATTATATTTTATTTTACAAAATTTCAGGGTGCCAAATGCTTCTAAAAAAAGTATTAAAATAAATATTTATTTTATTGTATTTTACAAAGTTTCAGGGTGCCAAATGCTTTTAAAAAAGTTTAGGAATAAATTAACACTTTAACCTTACAACAATAAGTCATGTTAGATGGTAATGGAATCCACATAATATATGTATGCAAATAACAGTGAGATATACGATTTCCTAACAGAAGGTTTTTTTGCTCCTTTAAAAAAATAATCTATAGAATAATTACTTCACTTATCAATACATAATGTCTAGTGCTCTTTGAAAAAAAGTTTAGCATTTGGGTGGGGGGATCTTTAACTCTTTAAAGAAATAACTTCTATTATCTGAAATGACTTTAAGGATTGACTAAATGTAGGAAAATTAAAAAAAAAAATAGTGCGTTTCATTTTATGAAATTAAAAAAAAAGAGTAATAAAAATGAGTGTTCAATCAACAGCGAAGTAGCAAAATTCAGATTCTAGATTCAATCAAAACCCAAATTCAAACTGAACATCCTCTTTGTGATTTCTGACATGTTTAATTTTGGTGAGCAAGCCTCGACTTCCTCATTTCGCATTAGAAGTGTCACTTGTAGAGCTGTACAATATATTTATATATACAAATGATAATCTAATTAAAATATATTAACACTAGTTTCACTCTGTTACAGAGTTGCCAAATATGATACATGCACATGACGCAGATTATAGGGCAAGAAAATGTATTTCCGTACTGTGGAGGTCAAGATGCAGTGATTCCCCTAAGTGGAACGCCAATGCTGGTGAATGATTTTATAATCAGTGTTACGTAATACTCTTTTCATCTTAAATTATAGAGTATTTTTAAAAAAATTTTTATCTCAAAATATAAAATAATTTAAATAAATTAAATTTTTATTAAATGTATTAATTGTTATATTATCCTTTTTTTATAATTAATTTTTATCTCTTTTAATTGAATATATTTAATGAAATTTATTAATATATAAAATTTTATTCAATAATATTTTATAATTTGATATCTAATGAGAACTTCAGTTGAGTTAGTCGTGTAAATAAAATCAGTTTGTCTGACTTATGGTTCGGATATGTTTTTTTTAAGGATTTTCTTTTTTCAAGGATCGGAAGTTGATCGTTTACTCTCGACAGCTTCGACTGGAAAGTGGTCCCGGTTCCAGGAAAAATTGTTTAGTGAATGAGAAGATTCAAAAGTTGTGTTCTTGACTTCGAAGTCTTAGTCGGCGGCCAAGCAACTTCGACAATTCCAACTTATCGGCGTGGAATTCTGTTTTCTTTTTTCTTTTTTTTTTTTTTTTCTGTTTTTTCCTTTTAGGGCCAATGCAGCCGCAGAGTATCCTTCACAACATTCCAAAACCGGTTCTCTGCCTCCGTTTCTGATGATCATCATGTTTCTTACAGGATTTGGTTCAAGTTCTTGCTCGCTACTCCTCTTTTTTATGTATTTGTTCTCTTTTTCCGTTCTGGTTTGTGCCTTGGACACCGTCCCACCATCTCTAGAGATCCATGAACCCCAAACAATAAGGTCAAATAATAGCATGTTTACTCTAGGATTCTTTAGTCCTGAGAATTCCACGAATCGCTACTTAGGAATCTGGCTTATGTCTGAATCAACTATTGTTTGGGTGGCAAACAGAGACGACCCAGTTACAGATTCTTCTGGGATTCTTACAATATCGGAGAATGGCAATCTTGTTGTTTTGAATGGGCAAAAACAAGTTGTCTGGTCAACAAATGTCTCACATATTGCATCAAATTCCAGTGTTCAACTCTTGGATTCCGGCAACCTTGTCCTCACTGATAGGACTACCGGAGCAATGGTGTGGCAGAGTTTCCAACATCCCTGTGATACATTATTACAAGACATAAAACTCAGTACTAATCAACAAACAGGCGAGAAAGTGAAACTTACATCATGGAAAAGTACATCTGATCCATCCCGTGGAAGATTTTCTTTAGGTCTAGAGCATCTTAATTTTACTCAAGTGTTCATTTGGAAAGAAAATCGTCCTCACTTTCGTAGTGGTCCTTGGAATGGTACAAACTTTCTTGGGGTACCTGGGACGTCATCTATGATTGGAGATGGCTTCCAAGTGAAAGAAGATGAAGGAATTTTTGAAATTTCTTTTCATTTCATAGAAAAGTCTCTGTTGATAACTTACGATTTAGATTCTCAAGGAAAAGTGTCAGAACAGAGTTGGGATTTCCAGAAAAATGCATGGGAATTGCGGTGGAGAATTGGGGATTCTGAGTGTGATTTTTATGGAAAATGTGGTCCATTTGGGATCTGCAATTCACAGAGCTCCCCAATCTGTAGCTGCTTGAGAGGGTTTGAACCTAAGAACAAAGAAGAATGGGAAAAGCAGAACTGGACCAGTGGATGCGTGAGAAGGGAAGCACTTCAGTGTGTGAAAAACAATAATGGCTCTCAAGCTACTAGCACAACAGATGGGTTTTTCAAGCTGGAGAGGGTGAAAGTACCAGATCAAGCAGAGTCATTACCATATAACTTCAGAGATGTTGTTGATTGTCGAACTCCATGTCTGAAGAGTTGCTCTTGTAAAGCTTATGCATATGACCCAGGCCTTGGCTGTATGGTTTGGAGTGTAGATTTACTTGACATCTTGAGCAATTCACCTGGAGGAGTGGATCTTTACTTACGTTTAGCCTCCTCAGAACTTGGTACCTTCTTTAATTACTGAAAACTCACTGAAACGCCTATGAATGAAACAGGTTTATTAGATTTGATATTACAAAACTTGAATATCATGTCAACTTTATATATTTCTTAGTATGGCTATTTTCTTATTGGATTGTTTCATGTAATGCTACTACTTTGCATGTGTGATTTGCGTTGTTAATGCTTTTTCAATAGATTTCTGACGTGCGGTTGCTATTTTTCTAAGGAGTTAATTAACTAGTGTTGTGGTTGATTATATTTATGGGTGAATTTGAAGGGAAAAAACACTTTGAAATCTTTATTGTTTTTTATCCTTTTTATGCCTCCTTTGATATAACGTTGAACTTATTGTCTGAGATGAAGACTATATGAACTTTCTTCTTCTTTTCTTAGATACAGTTGGGAGGAGTAACATGACAGCACCAATTGTAATATCAATTCTGACAGGAACAGTTGTCATTATTGCCTCTGGATTTTTCCTATGGAAAAAATGGTCAAAGCAAAAAGGTAAAATTCTATTTTAATATTAGATTTTATTCAAGGAATCAATGGTTTTGTTTCTGATTGTTAGCTCTTGCTTGAAATAAATATATGAATATAAGAAACGGGTTACTGAGAGGTAATTAGATAATCATAAAATATTATGTGTGTTTGGATGGCTGAATTTAAGTTGAAAATTTGGATTTAAAATCACATATTTGAAATATTATATTTAAAATTTATGGATTCTAAATTCTTTGTTTGGATGATATAAAAATTTTAAATTACAATATTAAAATTTTTTGTTTGGATCTAAAGTAAAATTTTAAATTTTAAATTCTATATTTGAATTTAAAAGAAATTTGAAAGATTAATCAAACCTGATGATTCGAATGGCTAACTTCTAACGAGATTAGACAAACAAAGTTGACTGGGACTGTGGCATTGGTGACAATCGGGACGGGACCTCTGACTTCAACTGAGATCGAACCATTGCAACTACGAGGACTAGACGGCCGACTTCCATTGAGGTAGGACCAACGACGACAATGGGGACCGGATGATCGACTTCCATAGAGCCCATACTGATGGCGATGACGGGACCAGACAGTTGACTCCCATCGAGACCAGACCAATGGCAACGACAGGGATTGGACGACTAACTCCCATCGAAATCGGATTGATGATAAAGACGAGGATCGGACGGCTAACTCCCACCGGGACTAGACCGACGGCGACAATGGGGACGAACTGCCAACTTCCATTGGGGCTGGACCAACAATGACGATGGGGATTAGACTGCCGACTTCCATCAGGACTAGACCGACGGTAACAATGGGGACTAGATGGCCAATTTCCATCCAGTCCATATCGCCGTCGCCGCTCCGGTCCCTCTGGAAGTTGGTTGTCCCATCCCCTTCGTCGCCATCGGTCTGGCCCTAAAAGAAGTCAGCCATCCGGTCCCCGTCATCACCATCGGTTTGGCCCCAGTGGAAGTCGATCGTCTCGTCTCGATCAACAGTGGCAGTTCTTTTCTGTCAACTTTGGTGGTTCGGTCCAATTACCATTAACAGGTTGATCAAGCTTTAATGTATTTGGGTCAAATAATAAAAGAGTTTGAGTTAGGATTTGAAATAATGAGAGTTTAGAAAGGATTTTAAATTATAAAGAGATTAAAGGAGAACTTGGATTTGAATTTGGACCAAATCCATACATTTTTAATTATTCAAACAATGAATTTAGCTTGAATCGAAATCCAAATTCAAATCCATGAATATCCAAACATAGCATAAGTAATTTTTGTTGATTGAAGTCAAACCCCCATCTCTCTCTCACGCACACACTCTCTCCCTCTTTCCCTATACATACTATATGAGAACAACATATAGTTAATTCATGACACTAATAACCTTATATTAGATAGCAGTATATGTTTCTAAAATGAAACTACACAAGTTTTCTTATGCCTATGTATGGAGTCTGAACAACGAGGGGAACTAGTAATTATTTGCAAATATTGTGGTTTGCTACAAAATTTTATGTTATGTTTATTAAATAGGAAAAGATGTGTGTAAAACACAGGGGGAGTACATAAGCAAATTGTTGACGAAAGAAGGAATACAAAACTGAAGCAAGCCAAAATTCAAGAGTTATCTTTGTTTGATTTTAGAAAGTTGGCTACTGCAACAAACAACTTTGACTTGGCAAATAAAATCGGGCAGGGTGGTTTTGGCCCAGTTTACAAGGTGATTTTCATTTATTTTTAAGTTTATTATCTTTCCAATTGTAAAAAATTAGTGTTTGTAAGACATTTTTTTTTTATTTTAGGGAAAGTTGGAAGCTGGACAAGAAATAGCAGTAAAAAGATTGTCAAGATCATCTGGACAGGGTGTGGAAGAATTTATCAATGAAGTGGAATTGATTTCTAAACTTCAACACCGAAACCTTGTTAGACTTCTTGGCTGTTGCATTGAAGAAGAAGAGATATTAGTTTACGAATACTTGCCAAACAAGAGTTTAGATGCTTATATCTTTGGTTAGTGCTCATCTTCTATAAGCATATGATAGTATACTAATTAATCCCATGTTTATACGCCTTGCACATTAAAAGTGGTAGAGAGGGGCCGAAAAACAAACAACGGAAATCTGGATTCACAGTGTTCATGAATGTCACAAGTTTAGTACTTCAACTCTTAATTTTCCATCTTGCCGCTTGACATTTGTGGCAATGGTTGCCATGTTTTTTTGCTTTTGTATCTCTTGGTATGGAAGTTCAATGTAGTGTATGTGCATTTGATGTGGTTTATTAATGGAGTCTTCATTCAGGTTGAAGTAACCAAGTCACAAGATCACCTAGCTTACCAAATACTGCCACCATGTACTAGCAAATTGTAGGAAATGATTGAAGAGTCATAAAGTCTTATGAACATTTGCCTTCCTTCTCTTTTTCCTAAAATAATCTTTTGTAGATTCACTGAAACAAAAGTACTTAGATTGGGTGAAGTACTTCAACATAGTTGAAGGAATAACTTGGGGATTACTTTATCTTTATAAAGATTCAATATTAAGAATTTTACATAGAGATGTGGTACAAAATAATATACTGTTGGATGAGGGGATGAATTAATGGATATTTAAAAATGTATAATATCATTATCAAAATTTTGTCATTTTTAATTAGATATGGCTCAAAATTATCTGTGTTTCTCTTAATTATGCTTTTTTTTTTAATCCTTGTTCTTAATTCAACTGGAAGATCCACTGCAACAAAAGCATTTAGATTGGGGGAAGCGCTTCAACATAATAGAAGGAATAGCTAGAGGATTACTTTATCTTCATAGAGATTCAAGATTAAGAATTATACATAGAGATGTAAAAGCTAGTAATATATTGTTAGATGGAGAGATGAATGCAAAGATATCAGATTTTGGGATGGCTAAACTTTTTGGAGGTGATCAAGATCAAGCTAATACAAAAAGAGTTGTTGGAACATTGTAAGTTCTCCTTTTCCTTTGTCATTGAAAATAATATTAACAGCATATTGTGAGCTCAAAGATGTCTTTGAATGCAGTGGCTACATTTCTCCCGAATACGCAACTGAAGGATTCTATTCAGAGAAATCTGATGTTTTTAGCTTTGGTGTTTTGCTACTAGAAATTATTAGTGGAAGAAAAAACACAAGTTTTTATGAAGATGCAGAATGTTTGACACTTTTAGGATTTGTAAGCCTCTCTCATTTGCAACTTTCTTTATTGCAAAAGCTCCAAAATACCTTTTATAACTGCTACCATTTTTTCTTGTTAATTTTTCTAGGCGTGGAAATTATGGATGGATGCCAATGTTATACCTCTAATAGATCCACAAATTTATGATCCAAGCTTTCAGAACGATATATTGAGGTGTATTCATATAGGTCTTTTGTGTGTGCAAGAACTTGCAAAGGACAGGCCCATTATGGCATTTGTAATGTCAATGCTTCAAAGTGAGATTATAGATATTCCTCCACCAAGACAACCTGCATTCATCTTCAGGCAAACAATGTCTTGTGCAGCAAAGAAAGCTCTAGAAAATAATGAGTCATGTTCCATCAATATTGTAACTGTCTCACATTTTGAGGGGAGATAGACAAGTTTCTCTAAACCTTTTCTCTCCAAAAATATTTCACTTTGTTGGTCCAAGACATTTAATTTGTTTTCTGTATATAATGAATTTTTATGGTCATGTTCTCATCTTTGAATGCTAAATTATAAATGCAAATTTTGATTTCTATGGACTTAGGTTCTGTTTTAACGGATTTAAATTTACTTTGGATAAATAAATGAATTTTGTAAGTATAGAAAATTTATTTAGATGTCTAGAAAATTTTTGGGAAGAGATTTAATGAATAAATTGGTTGTTGTATGCTTTAATTTTGAATGCACGAAATGTGTTTGATAAAATATTCAATATGAGGATGCTAGTCTATGTTGGCAAATAAATGGAATAAATGTATTATTGTTGGATAAATTGTTATAGAAGGTAATTATTTTCCATCTTTGTGTAATAATTTTATTTTTTAAAAATAAATAAAAAAATAAATTGATTATATAAAAATACTGACAGGTGGCACTTATGATCTAGGGAGAAGCCACCTATCATCTTTTTAATATTTACTAATAAATAATTTTATATTTTAATAAATATTAGTAAATAAATCATTAAATTAAAACTATCTTATTGTTTTATTATTGCTAATTACTTCTTAAATAAGTATTAATTTACTAAATACTTATTTAATTATTCATTATTTAATTATAGGTAAAAGTGTATTTTTACTTCTGAAGTATTTTTCAAAGAGTACCTAATACCCTGATGTATTTTTTAAAGCAAATTTGTTTTTAAAGTAATTAAAATGGAGCATTTTTTTTTCCTTTCCATCAAATTTCCAACAATCAATGTTTGAGGCATAGTAAAAATTTCTAACAATCAACATTAAAAATTTGATGGAAAAAAGCAAAAATGCTTCATTTTATCTGTCACATTGAGAGAGTTTTCCACATAAAAAAATTGTGCCTTCTTCTTGCAATTTTTTCCCCCAAAAACACTTTTAGCTTTGTTTGGAAAGAGAAGAAATCATAAAGAAGAGAAAACTAGAGAAAAACATTTTTCACCCTTATTTTTTCTTCCCAAAGAGGAGAAAATTTTTTATGTTAGGAAGGAAAAAAATATTTTTTCTACTCTTTTCTCCTATCTATTTTCTTTCCACATCAAATGAAGGGTTGGTCTAGTGCTTGATAGAAAGGAACATGTGGTTATTGAATAGTCATTAATGGCAAATTGTTTCAATATGATTCTATTCAGAGAAACAGAATTATAATTGGAATTATACTTGTCAAAAACATATTTGTTTAGCCAACTTGTGAAATGTTTATTATATTCTTTCTCATACCAAGTTTCTGTTCTTCCTCGATTATCCTTCCTAATGTTGGACTTGAGCTTATCTGCATACTCATCCACCTTTTTAGAGTTGTGTAACACATAAAGGTTTTTCAAATTCAATACCTAAATCCTTAACATTTTCAAACAGCTAATCACCGAATAAAAATGGGGGAGGCCCACCTTTTTTTGGATTACCATCAAAAGATTTTCTTAATCTTCAATAATAATGTTGTTGAGGCAACCATCTGCGATGTCCCATGTAGACATTCTTCATACCATGTTCTAATCTCACTGGCTGTGAACTATTTTCACAAATAGAGCATCCAAGTTTTCTTTAATACTATACCCAGACAAATTACCATAAGCTAGTAAGTCATCGATTGTACCAAATAGCATGACTCTTAAATTAAATGTTTCCTTCTTATACCCATCATACACTTTGACACCTATCTCCTATAATATCTTCAAATCTTCAATTAAAGGAGCCAAGTATATGTCTATGTCATTTTCAGGTTGTTTTGGCCTAAAAACTAACGCAGACATCATCAAATACTTGTGCTTCATGCATAACTATAGAGGTAGGTTGTAAATAATTAACATCACTGGCCATGTACTATAGTACTGCTTTGTATGCCATGTGGATTCATTCCATCAGTAGCTAGTACGAGGCATAGGTTTCTAAAATCTCTTGCAAAGTCTGGATACTCTCAATCAACCTTTTCCCATTGAGCAGAGTCAGCAGGATGCCTTAGCATACCATATCTAATCCTTTTGTCTACACGTCGTGTCAAATTTTGGAATCTACTACACTGCTATATAAGCATTTAAACCTAGGCACTATGGAAATGTACCATACCACCTTGTCCAAATTCTTTCCATTATCCTCATAACGTGATGCATTACATTTAAAACACTCAGTTAATAATGCATATTCATTCCTGAACAAAGTACAATCATTGGGGCAAGTATGTATTTTCTCATAGCTTATGCCCACAGATCGCAATACTTGTTTTGCATCATATGTTCAGGTTGGAAGCTTATTACCCTTCAATAGCATTTCATGAATAAGAGAAAGAAATTCAGTGAAGATCATATCAGTTAAACCCCCTCTCACTTTCAAGTTATACAATCTTAGCACAACAGTTAATTTTGAGAATCCAGTGCAACCATTATATAAAGGTGTTCCCGCATTATTTCTCAACCTCTCAAGCATTTCAAGACAATCTCAGAGTTTCTCTTCAACAGAATTCATCATCTCTTCAACACGATCTTCCTTGTTTATACTTGTTTTGAAATCATGTGACGCATACGTTGAACCACTATTCCTATGGCTTTTATCGATTGTATCCCTTGACTCACCATGCTTATGCCAACATGTGGAAGTATGATCAATTCTATAGCACACTAAATGGTCTTTCAACTCACTCATACTAACCCACTTCAAGAGGCCACACTTGATACAAGGGCACATAATGCTATTATGATTTACTTCATGCTCTAATACAAATCTAATGAACTCCTTTACCTCATGTAAATATTCTTTTGAGACTCTATTCACGAACATCCATTCCTTGTCCATAATCCCTCCCAATCTAACAAGAATTGTCGAGGAAAATGATATTAGTGACTCAATCATATTGGAAGAGTTAGTTTAATGAATAAATTAACTATTAACTCAATCAATCATGAGCCACATGCTTTCACATGTATATCATCCCTCTCTAAGCTAATTAAATTTAAGATAATATTTATAATTATATTAAATTAATTGTAAGTAATTTATTTTAAACAAAAACTTGCCAATAAGTGAATTTTTTAATTTGTAAGTTCTAAATAATTTATAACATTTATTTTCATGATTTCTTTAGGCATTGTATTTGAACATATATAATCCAAACAACATTAGGGCTCCTTTATTTAAAATAAAAAATAAGTGATTTTTAAATAATTTAGAGATTTAAAAAAAAGGAATGTAATTGTTTTATGTTTGGTTACAATCACAAAAAAAAAATTACTTATAATTATAATAAGAAAAATATATATTTGAATATTAATATTAACATACAGTCCTAATTGTTTTATGCTTTTTACTTAAAAAAATTAAACAAAATTTTAAATAAAAATTAGGCAACATAACGGTATAAAAATGAAACTTTCTAAGGCATTTTGCCTCATTTCAATCAGAACACCATCAACAACAATAACAATAACAACAACAGCAACAACAACAGCAATATATAGTATTTTAAGCTAAAAGATATACATGAGTAACAATTTTGAATAATCTCATAGTACTCATACACAATTTCAATTAATATAAAACTTCATATACTACTCAACTATCAATTAAAGAATCAAACGATAAAAAATTTTCAATTAAATCAGTTAAATATTGTTCAAACAAAAAATACACAAAAAATGGGTTGTAAATTCGGATAAAAGTAAAAACTATATATAACTCCCATCTAATCAAATATTATTAGTCTAACATACGTCTTAAACTTATCCATAATTTAAATTTCATATGGGTTTTGGCTAAAGATAATTTTTTTTTTCTACAAGATATTTTATCAAACACCTTATGGGCAACACAAATAACACACCAAATCAACATAATGCAATTTGATAAACCCAAACCAAATCAAAAATAAAACATGCCTAATCAATTCCAAACAACAATCAAACACTAAAATCCATTTAAATGGTTTCAAATAACACTCAAGAGATTAAGAAGAAATATGAAGAAATAAGGAGAGAAGAGGCAAGCACTTATGGAGTTCAGAAAATGAAGTCAATGAAAGAGAAGAGCAGACCCATGCAAGCTTAAGGAATATTGAAGAACACGAGCTTCAAGGGAGAAGATGCTGCTCGATTGAGAGGAGAGACTAGAAAACAGAGAAGACAAGGGGCGGAGAAGGAGCTGCAAAACTGAAATCTGATCTGAAATAGGAGAGGAAAAGTATAAGTTAAACGTATATTGGATGGTTATCCACTTAACCATCTAATAAACGTGCCACATATTGGACAATTATACAACATAACTGTCTAATATCAATGCCAGAATGAAAAAATTGTCAAAAATTCAAAATTCAAATCTTATATTAAACAGTTCTAAAGATAACCGTCCAATATATCTCTAAATATTGGATGGTTGACCACATAATCATCCAATATTCATCCCCACATAAGCTTATTAGATGGTTTATCATATAACTGTCCAATAAGTCTCGTCATATATTAGTAAATCTACAGTAGTGAATTATGAAGAAGCCCATGAACATAATAGCCTTACGTAAACTCAAGTTCTAAAAATTGGTAAGCAAAAGTTAAAGAGCGATTTTTTCAGTCACACTAAGTTCAAATAAATCTCCTTAACAAATAGTTCACACAAAGTGAATGAGATCACAAAAGAGTGCAAATAACAAAGTGAAATAGATGATGTAGATCTAATATGTACAATAACAATCCTAGCTGGTGACGAATTCAAAAACATGTATGGGGCGCAAAATGAAAAACTATTTAAAATATGGGGAAATATACTAATTTTTACAATTTTAATGAGAAAAATTTCCCAAGGAGTAGTGAAATTGTGGGGAGCCCAACATCTCCCTTGGCCCCCTGGATTCGTCCCTGATCCTAGCAAACTATTAGTTTCAACTCTGAGCCATTTTGCATCCATAAAATTATGTATAGGCTTGATTTATAATAGCTATGTTGAAAAATTTGGAAGATGATTAATGAGGTCCTTGTTGATATATAGTTGATTTTATTGGTTTAATAGTTGATTTTTAACTGTATATAAATTTTAAATTATCACAATAAGATGTAAAAATAGAAAAAAGCAATATTCATGGT